TTTTTTTGGAGAAAATCACGGTCAGAAGTTCTCGTCTTCAACGGAAAATAGTTTCCAGTGAAAAGGGGTTTGGAATGTTGTCATCAGTGCACGCTGCGAGCTTTTGTCTTCAACTGTTTATTGTATCCGAGAGGGGGAAGCAAGGTGATCGTTGAAGAAAAGTTGCGCGAGTAACAGCAACCATCACCTGCTGCCCTGGGCTACGTGAGCCGCTGGAGAGCAGAGGGGGGGGGGGAGAGGAACTCACAAGAACATGCAGAGGCAGAGCGCGAGGAAGTGCGTGAGCAGGTTGGGCTGGCACACCACCTCCGTGATGACCCTGGCGCCGCACTGCGGGCAGACGAGGCGCCGGGGCACCTTGCGCAAACGCGGAGCTCTGCGCCGTGCCCTCACTGCGCACCGCACAATGCTCCGATGGGCCACCGGATCTCTCGAATAGAAATAGGAGCAACGCGAAATACGTTGCTCTTACTCACTATTTAAGAACGCGAGCTAGGTAGATTGCCAGAGTTCACGAGATCGGGGGCCATCGCAACTGGCGTGATATTTAAAAGAAAGCGTAAAAGGTAAATAAAAAAGGGCCAACACGAAATACGTTGTTCTAGATCAACAGTTTAAGGCCACGAGCACGGCAGATTGCCACAATTCACGAGCTCTGGAAGCCATCGCAACTGTCGTGATATTTTTTTAAAAAAGCGTAAAAGGTAAATAAATTAAGGGCAAGACGAAATACGTTGTTCTAGCACACAATTTCAAACGAGCTCTGGAAGCCATCGCAACTGACGTGATATTTTATAGTAAGCGTAAAAGGTAAATGAAAATAGGGCTATCACGAAATACGTTGTTCTAGCTCAACAGTTTAAGGACACGAGCAAGGCAGACTGCCACAGTTCACGAGATCAGGGGCCATCGCAACTGGCATGATATTTAAAAGTCAGCGTAAAAGGTAAATAAAAATAATAGCAAGGCGAAACACGTTGTTTTAACACTGGTATTTCAAGAACACAGGGAAGGAAACTTGCTTACTTAAGGTCACAAGCACTGCATCCAGTGCAAACTGGCACGGTATTTAAATGCAAGGCCAAAAAGTAGATAAAAATAAGGACAAGACGAAATACGTTGATGTAACAGACAAGATCGCGGGCAAGGTAATTGGATTACTAGAGTTCACGAGCACTGACGCGACTAGCGCAATTGGCGCGAGATTTACAACTAAGGATAAAATGTAAATAATAAAAAGGTCCAAGATGAAATTCTAACAGAATTTGTTCTCACAGACACATCAAGATTGCGGGCAAGGTAACTAGCGTGCTAAGGTTGACGAGTACTGCGACAAGCACAACTGGCGCGAAATTTAATAGTAACTGTTGTATAATTAGAGTGGCGATTTATCACTGTATCTGGAGCCCATTGCAGCAATTTTGAGCATTAAGTTGACAAATATTTCTCCAAATTTAGAGATATTCATTTTAATTCCCCCAAGCAAACAAATGCTCCATTACAATGTAATGATAGGTTAAATTTCACAATGACAATTTGAAAGTAAAATTAAACTTTTTAAAGTATCTTGATTCTGTAATCGTATTTACTTACGAGGACAATAATTGCATTAACTTCGTATGTTCACGTTACAAATTTAACAAAAAAAGCTTCTTGTCGGTTCGTTCATAAGAGAATTGTTAACTTTTAAAGACTCGTTAGTGTATTTCACAGTGCTATAAACAAAAAACCGAATGATTTAATAAAACTATACAAAACCAAGTACGGAAAGAATTCGCCATTCAGAAATATCGCTGGCTCTTGACAAAAATATTTAAAATAGAATTTAAAAAGAAAATATATATGAAATAGTTATAAATAATGAAGAATATAATCATTAGCTAAATCTTGTGTGTCAGAAAAAATCTGGCATTTTCGTGTCTACATTATTCCAAGCCTCGCGCAGCTTCAGCTAGCGTTTGTATGTATCCTTTTCTGAATTTCGAGGGGGAATGAGAGCGAAGATAAGCTGCCCATGGTCGCAGAGCACTGAGCTTCACAATCTGGCCAGTAACTCGTGAGGGGGGGGGGGCGATTCGACATTCTATAATTAATCTTCGTATCTTTTACGGTTGCAAAGGGAAATAATGGAGCCGAAGACTATAGTACACACAGTTCAAGATTTTGGAAATATTAGATATTTTATTGAATATTGTTTCAATGACATGAAGTATAGTATAGAAACTAATTTAAATTTTTATAATAATTATCAAACTCATTCATGGATATATGGAAGGTTCAGAAGGGGGTTAAAATATAGAAACAATTTGAATTATAGATATTTCCATGTTTCATACGTACTTTTTGCAGTTTATTCCCAATTATTTTGTATTCCATTTCCATTAAAAAGTATAATTGCTTAAGGAATAGAGAAAATGTTCATATTCACTTATGCCAGCAATTCTATTATTTCTGGATTTGCCTAATTAATTTGATTCTTTAAAAAATGTATTTACTAGTATAAAAAATACACACTATTTCTGTCCTATTTTATATATGATAACTAACTGTACAATCGGAAAAGCTAGATTTTAGTTTGGCCCTTTGCAATATAGTTCACTCCTTTTAGTAATAGATATTTTCAGATTAGCCTACGACTTTTACAGCATACTACCAATAATCACTAGATAGGTTTGATAATCAAAAGTTCATATGATCTGAATTATGCCATATTTTTCGAAATGAAATTAATGAAATCTATTATTTCGGGCCTGGGTACACTTTCCAATATCACGCATGTTAGGCTGACCAAATACGTGAACCATCAAATAGCCTACCTCTATTCAGCTCTTGCCGACTGGAATCTGGGCTCTGTCGATCCATTTTAATTGTAATTTGTTAACCGTGTGTGGTGTTCGCCATTTTCGTAGTTATTAATCGACCATTTATTTCTCGGCTTCATAAATTAATGGATAGAATTGTTCCGCTTAAGATTCAGTAAAGCTGAAATACAATTTTCAACAAATTAAAATAATTTTAATGTTCAATTTAAGTTCCGTCGCCATGACAACCTACTCTTATTGATGAACAAGGAATCCTGACACAGACGAGATTGTACAGAGAGTAAGCATTAATTGGGGTCATTAAAACGAAAAGGATTTAGGAAACGCGAAAGGTAAATAATGAAGTTTAACATAAAAGAGAGGGAAACGAAACGATGTATAATCAACAGTATATTTAACAATTTCAACAACAACAAATATTAAGTAAAAAGATATTGAAATTTCAGCATCGCCTCCATAAGCAGATTTTGCCTTTAACAGTTTAGGTCCTCTAGTCAATACATCCTTTACACAATCTGAAAAATGCACTATCATTAGAGTACAGAAAATATAAAATTAAGGGACAAGGATTGACATTAAGGAATTAAGTTTTCGAATACGCAGTTCAATAGTTTGTTTCGGAAGAAAAGGTATTTTCTTAATATTCAATTTAGACAACTTTATAGTTCCGTTTAGATGTGCGTTTCAGCGATTTTGACTTACATATCTGAGACCAATACTGACGCAAGGCAAAATATCTAAAGTATTTTTGGTATTTAGAAGGAAAAAATTTAATGTCAACTAGCCCGCAAAATATAAGGAATTGCGCAATAAAGTATTGTAAATTAATATGCGACGTTGAGAACGTAAAGTATCAGGAAATCCCAATATTAATTGAATTTAATAAAACTTAATTAATTTAATTAATTGCACAACTTAGGTTTCCAAAAATATAGCAAAAAATTATAAGACATTGTTGATAGGTGACAAATGACGCATGCGGTATACAGTTGCGAGGCGACAAGAGCGCATCGAGGAAGAAAGAACAATCAAACAAGTGAACCAGGCAGGCCAGATAGAAAATGTAAACGGAGAATTTCGAAGAGAATGATCTCCGATTTGGTAGGGCGAGGATCAATGGCCGTCAAGGCACTGCGTAGCAAAATTTTTGTGATTAGTCCGAGGAGATAGAAAACCGACATGTGGTCCTCGGGTAACCGTAGAATAACGATATAATTTAAGTGAGATTTTTCGGATAAAAGTCTAATATTCGTGGGATAAACAGATCGCAAATAAGAAGAAATTTTATTAGTTCAAATTCACTGTGGACATAAGAAAAGCTCCAGATTGAATTGGAACAATCGCTGATGTCATTAAAGACGTCAAGATTGCTATGCATTCTACAAAAGGGAAGGCTAGGCAGTAAGTGACAGAAAAAATATAAGAAGGCCAAGTCATATTTAAGTATTAAGTTAACATTAAGATTTAGAAAGAATTAACAGTTTTATGGATAGGAATTTGATGTCCATCAATAGAGACAATAGAGAAATAGAAAAATACATTGCTGAACAAAACTAATTAAGAAGGAATTCGAAATGAAAAAAACGCGTTCGCCGACTCCGAATGTCGCAAGTCAAACAAAATTTGTAGATTGTTTAATTTATTAGTAACAAAGATTCTCTCACAATAACTTGCTCACCACCCTAAAACTCTTACGAGCGATATTTTGAGGCCCGTGAGACACGATAGAACCTTGAGAAGCTTAAGTATGCTGACGCCCAGAAAATTAAATTAAAACCAGAGCTGGCTCACTTAATTACAAAGAGAGTGAGAAAAAAATTATAAGTAGAAATTTTTTTTCCACTTCAATGGTAGGTCCAATACGAGGCTTTGAAGGATAGTAAATAGTTTAAAATTAAATTAATAATTTTGAAACAATTATAGTAAATAGTTTAAAATTAAATTAATAATTTAAGAACAATTATAAGTATTTAAAAGAAGGAATGGTTGATTCATTCAATACTTCTCTGTGAAACGGTGGTAATTTATAAAATTAAATATTACTTTCAGACTGCCATGAAAACTCCGCCTTAAGAAAACCCCTTGCATCATACGTTCATATCAGAAGCCTATTTGTAACATCACCTTCCTAACCTACGACCTTTAAAAAAATGTTATTACGGACCTGAAATACCTGACCTTTAATTGAAGCAGTCACTCAAGAAATATAGCGAAGGCCTTCGGCGTAACTGATCGGCTGCTAAAACACATCCGGCAGGTTCTCTTCGGCATTTGCGCAGCAGAAATTTTTCCTGCAATCAAGAGCAGACCCCGATCAGTAAATTTCTCCACTCCCACCCTCCATCGTCAGATAGCCTAAAAAAAATTGTCACCCACTCCCTTCTCCCCGAAAACGCTTTCTAAAGCGAGCCAATATTTAATGTTTTTCGGCGCGTCAACTTCCGTTCCGATTAGTCCCGTGAATGTAGTGCAAGTTGTAGCCCAGAGGCAGTTTTCCTCTCCTGCAAAAACATGAGATGAGGAGGACAATGGTGATGAGGGAAAGAGGATATTCCGGGACCCGTTTATTTGGGAATTGCGTCGGGTTTTGCTAGGTGCTGATCTAGAAAGCCGCATAAAACATGTATTAGAGCAGGCGGCCGCTACAATTAGCACACCGGCACTGGAGCCATCTGGTCGGAGACTCTTCAATGGTAACAAAGGTCACAAAACCAGCGAAGTTTCTTCAAAACGTCTTTAAGAAAGTCAACGTGCCTTTCGGGAAGATAGTCTGATAGAGAAAACACAAAGCTCAGCAACAGCACTGTAGGAAGAACGGCCTGAAATCAAGAATAAAATTGTCAGTAACCTTGTTCCAGTGACCCTCCATGTTGCTTCAGTGATCTCAAAAGAATAAGTTACCTCGCAATCCCTTCCAAGAAGCTCTAACCATATGTTGATGTTCGACTGAAGTTCCTTGAAGGTGACAGCTGCTGGTGAATTTCCACATCGCACAACGAAAGCAGCATCGTCAGAAGCCTCTTCAGGGACGGCAAAGCTGCAAGTACGAGTACTATTAATGTAATAAGACAATGTTCTTTAATATAAAAAATTTAAATTCGCCACACGGCACAGTACTCACTTTGATTTGTGACAATTCTTGAAGACTTCTGGCTACACAATTCGACGTAAGGAATAAAAGAACACGTTATGACCTTCCCCGCCTCCTGTGTCATGTCTACCTACAACTAGGCACTTTCCTTGCGCAAGTCCCTCGATGCGAGAACGACGTCTCGAGATATTTCCACGGACTCCCGCGGTGGAAGGTCGTTCTGAAACGCTTTGCTCCGAAGGAAGGCCAGCCACCGAAAATTAGAAGCAACTCGAACCTTCAAGAGGAAAGAATTCCAGAACGCCTCCATGACCCATGAAGGGTATTAGCAACGATGAGCTCTTAGCTAGCCAGACTGCAGGGGTACTTCCAATACAATTATCCCTAATGGTCCTCCACAGTTCAGCAAAGAGACCTAACTAGCAAGAAATTCGCGCAAGAAATTCGCAAGAACTAGCTAGATTCGCGTTAGCGCATGCTCGGTTAAAGGGATGTGTACCTACGAGCCTGGGTTGAATGCAGATCTACACAACGGCGAATGATATTTTCCTGCGAATATAAGTATTAGACTAATACGACACAGGAGGCCCCGGTAAGTCTAACTGAGCAGGGCGGTGGCTGTATATCCCTCCCAATTCCCCATTACATGTCTGCAAAAGAAAGAGCTGGAACGAATATTTTACTTCTTTCACAGATAACCTTCAAGCATTTAATAAGCATTTAATTGACTCAGAATTGACTGAATTTTACTCAGAAGTACAGACATTAAAAATATGCAAACAAACTTTTTTCAAATTTGAGCTTCACAGTTAAATGTTTTCCACTTACAAACGTCAACTTAGTAAGTAGTGAACAATGAAAACTAGAACACATCACGAGAACGTTCATGAAATCTTCGAACCAGCCCCTTCCTTGACATTTACGCATTCCCTATGTACAGCCGATGCAGGGGGGGGGGACTCAGCGTGCCCTCAAGAGGCACATCCCACAAGGGATGCAGGGGTGCAGATGCGTAATGTTACAAAGGTTTGGCCGCGAGAGCTCACAAAGATGGCGTCGCCCTGCCCAGAGCTTTCCCCACAACTCACCGCTTCGCACTGCGCTCCAGACTTCGCTCGCAGAGGTCTCGACAGCGGACGGCGCTGCTTCCCCGCTGCAGACAAAGGTCGCAGTGAGCCCTTCCTTACAGCATACGCTTCTCCTTCAGTTCCCTTCGCGCCTCGCCATTGCTCAATGCCCAGATTCCCACAACTCACCGTTACGCACTCCGCCCGCAGAAGTCCCAATCCTCGCCCAGGCAGCCTCGCGGTGCTGCTTCTTGGGCGAGACGAGGCGGCGCTGGGAGCAGGGCCTTTTAACTCCCATGTTACGTGGTGGAAACCAATACAGTGACGCGCAGCACCTTCTTACATGAACTAAAATACGAACTGCTGCCAACGATACTTTAAACGTGCGTGGCCGGTGCGTGAGTTCGCGAGAAACAAGCAGATGCGTAATGTTACAAAGGATAACGTCTATGTTCGCGCTTTCTTCAGAGGTTCCTTATAAGTATAGGTTATGAATAATTGAACATTAAAAAGAGACTTTTCGTATTTCTCACAAATTAGCAATTTTTTTTGTGCGGAAGTTGGCGAGCCTAACCTGCAGCTGTACCCAGCGACACTAGCGCCTCCTATAGTAGCACCTTCCAGCTTTTCCCCGGTTTAGATGGAGAGTTGCAGGGCCTTGACAACGCCTCAACTGTTTATTCCCCTCACCGCTGCTGCTGCCACCCCTTCCCGTCCTGCCATTGGCTGTTACGTCTGCAGTTCGGGGGAGCGCGTAATTTATTATTTTTACGAACTATTTCAAAACAATGACACTGCTGTTCCCATATAGCATTTATTTATTTTAGATTTAATATATGATTTTAATAATCGTTATATCATTGTTGATGATGGACAACCTTCTATGTGACGGAATTGGCGACTTTTACATTTGCGTACCAATGATTCATTTTGTTTACTTTAGTTTGATAAGAAAAATTCCAAAGAAAACTAGAAATTGTGGTCTTAAAATAGAAAACCTCTTATTTGCCTTTACAATTTATTGATGCTAGAATACATCGTATGTGGGAAGAGCCACATGAGAGGTTTTCGTAAGGTGCATTCACAAAAATAATACAATAAATATTTAACATTATTATATAGAACGTGTAGAATGCCTAACTTTAGCCAACTGTACACTATTAACACCAAAAAAGTTTTCCTTCCTCCTGAAAAATTTGTGTTTTTTTCCACATACAAGGGTTGTTTATCAACAATGACGATATGTTAAATCGACGTAGGTTTCGACCCCATAACGTGGAGAAGAAGGGAAGGGGAAAGAGGAAAGGATGATGGCAATGAGGTAGCCCGCAACTCTAGAGGAGGAGCTGAGGAGCGGTAGTGGCGAAAAACCTCATGTGCCGTTCAACTGTTCGTAAATCGATTACGGTTGTCCAGGAGAAGATTTCCGCACTGTCAACTGGAAATTGATGAAAGATATTCCATAGAATTAAATCTTATTAAAACTAATAGTCTTTGACTACACATACAAAATCACCTTATCAGGGCATTGTGTCTTAAAACGTTTGTTGCCTTTTTCATCTGATTTTTCTTACATCTTTCATCTGATGATTCTTCTTCCTACTGGCCAATCAAAAACTGTGACTCATCTATCTTAGAGAAGGAGGTGATATTGTTCATAGTTATTTTCAATATTTGATGCATTTTGGAACTCTGCTGGACGAAATTTTACTCGTGGAATAGTCCAATGAAATACCACTCGTGCTTTTAAAATTCTCTGGTAAATCTCCTCCTCGCTTAGCGTGTCGGGAATTTATTGACAAATTCCAAAGCACTCGTATTACCTACGATAATCATATTTCATCATACAAGCAGGTCCTTAGTTTAAAATTATATCCAGAATAATTACTCTAGGTACTAAAGTATGTGTACGACCTACTTAACAAAATGATGAGCTGTTGTCAGTGCCGCAACCAGGATTTTTCTAGTAGAAGATAAACTGTGAAATATTAGACACTAAAATGAATCACTAGTTTTTTACATATCTTGATTATAATATGCAAAATAATTTTGTTGAAATTTAAAAAACTATTATGCATGTCTTTGAATAATCCTTTCTACAATAACATTATTACATCACATTTAAAATACACTTGTTTGCAAATCACATTAAGAAAACATTATTTTCTCAGAGTGATGTGAGTAGCTAAACACACACACATATCGCGTGCTGCCTGCCTCTGCTGATATTCGCAACTTACAAAATGCCACATTTCTAAAATTTCCCCACGAGCCCCCAGGAATGGTAGCGAGCAACGGTGACCAAAAATGTTGCCGATCTAAATTTTGAAAGTAATCTTTAAGCATTATTTCGTAACCCAAGAAAACGTCAATCCAGGAACTTCCAGGGTTCAAAGTGAGCCGATGAGGCTGAGAAGCTGTGATGGTAACAAGGGAAATCCACGAGCGGTTAATCACAAGAAGCAGTCCGACGCAGCAATTTATTTTCTCTTCACGTAGACGAAGTCACTTCCAGCATTCGTAAAGGCGAGGCGAAGGCAAGCCAATGCAAATCAATGCATCAAAATAGTCCTTTCTCATATTATTGGATAATATCAAAGACTGTCCGTTTCGGCGTCCAGGGCCTCCTAGATTAATAACACGAATTCTGAAAATGGTAAATGAAATAATATATGTATTTCGAAAAGTTTATAAAAGTGTACGCTATTTCATTTTTACTTTCCCGTATACACGAAGTAATTTACGCAGAATAGAGAAAATTATGTATTGCGGCGAAAAATAGAATCCGAGATTTCAACGGAAATACGCGTTTTGGGGTCCCCTGATATAGAAAGTTTTTTTTCAAAACGCTCGTCCGTCCGTCTGTCTGTCCGTTTGTCTGGTGTATGAGAACAATACTAACGCCTACATCATGCATAAGATTTTCTTTTTCTAATTGAAGAAACCCCTGTCCATTTGGCGTGATTCGAAGCTCTGGGAATTTGAAAATAATTCATTAGTTTTTGGGGGTACTTTACATGATGCTCATCAAACATTTTCAAAATGTTCTCAAAAATGGCTCCATTTTTTTCTTTAAATTTCTTATAAGAATAGAGTATAATGCACTCATAAATGTGCCATAGGTCCGATTTTCACGGTTAACTCTAAATATTCGAAAATTTCAAAAGTTTCAATTTTTTCGGAGTCTTACTACAACTAACAAATTAAAGATAGAGATTTTTCCTTAAAATGAAATTTGTTGTTCATAAAATTTTCTTTCACTAAGGAAATGCAATTTTTTTGAAAATTTGAGTGGTTTTCGCGCAATTTTAATTATTAATAATTATTGCGTGCAAAATAATTATTGCGTGCAATTTTAAAAAATTACGAAGACAGCATTTTTTAAAAAACGGCTCCAAATTCTCTTTTTATTTAAACTGTTGGTAGGTTTGTGCTAAATGCACTCTATGGAGCGAAATAAACGCCATATTGCTCTATTCTTTTGTTCGAATTTGAAAGCATTAAGTGGGATGAGGACCGGCAGTTAAAATAATGAAATTTGTTATTTCAATGCCAAAGTAACTTAATAAGTTGAAGAATAAAGCTTTATTGATGAATTACCGTTTGCGGCGGTTCAAAACAAATAATTTGTAGCATTATCTGGGGAACATTATTTTCAAATTCGACAGCAGCTTTCGATGGCTCAGCCATTATCGCCAGTTACCTGATGTTTGGAATTATACTACATCGATTTATCAAACTCATCATCCTCATCCTCATCATCCCTATCATCATCCTCATTTATTAAATAATAATGTTGGCCAAGTCAACGTCTCTCATTATCTTCTTTAAGTAGAAGAAATTTTATGACATATCGATGCAAGCTGATACTGAACTAAATAATAAATTTCCGTATACGAATATTAATAAAGAAATAGGATTATTTACATGAGAACATGTTATTTAAAAACTTAACACGTACTAACAGTCAGATTTATAAAATACACTGATGTTAGAAAATTGGTCATCTGTCTTGAAAACAAAGAGCACAAAATCAGTAGCTTTTACTATCGTATTGGTCAAAACCGAACAAATTGGTTCTAATCAGTCACACATAGACACCCATAGTCAAATTCCGCAGCCTTCAACGATCTATCCTTCCTATTTGTAAGAACATTTTTAAAAAAAGTTGAAACCCAATACAAACACTTTTATGGAAGCGAGTGTTAAAAATAATATTTCGAGAAGAATTCGGTTATTTAATTCTGAGGAAACATTTTCTTGTTCTGCGATCATCAGAAGGTCATACTCGTATATTGTATAGCACAAGTATTGATCCCGCTCCAAGCTTTTACACATTGAATGCCTCAAATCCAAATTTAAAATTTCTTCCAATTCTTCTCAACGACGTCGATATACGCTGCACCGCACTTCGATCGATAGCATTTGATTGATTGATGTCTCCAGGCACATGAACTGCTACGGCCATTAGTCTCGTTAGTGTGGTGAATGATATATTTCTGGAGGTGGTGGTGCTCCTTCGATATTGAATGCTGAGATCTGGCGTCGACCTATACGTCAGTATGCACGAGAAACGGCCAGCAGGGCAACGCCCCAGCCACAACTAGCACCAAGTTCCGAAATGGTTTCCCGTCATGTGTGGTAGTGTAGTGCACGTAAGTGTAAGTGTGAGTGTAGGGAGAGGATAGGACAAGTACGAAGAAGGAAAGATATATCGCAGTCGTTGACCCATTTCTTAGGGTACAGCATTCATCTAGTATTGATCATATAAAACCACGGAATACAGCCGATCAGAGCAGCCGGCTGCTAGAATTCTCCTTCAGACAGTAGCTGAATTCGATCTAGCTATTAT